GCAGCGCCATGACTATCCTGGGTGTTCACCAAATACTCTCACCAACTTGGTACATAAACAGTGTCCATTTCAGCCGATCACCTGCTCTCGTGTGGACTTACTGCTGGGTAAAGAGTGTCCCGCGTAAGAGCAGACGCTGATCTCCATAAAGCTGTGAGGGACAAGCACAGAAATCATTTATTATCAGAGAAAAGGAACCTCGTTTTCTAAGTTGATGTCTTTCTTTTTTTTTTCCTTGGCTTTTGTGTGAACATGACATTTACGCAGCTTACAGAAATAATTCCTGCATGTGCTCTTGACACATCAGCCCTCTGAAGGAAGGATAGTGCTGGCTGTGCAAGAAAGGCTTATTATTTGGGTTTGTTTTTTTTTAAGGGATGCATGTTTGGAGGGTTTTCACAAAAGGATTTGAAATCTCTGCTATACAGTGGGCAAGGACGGAAAAAAAGAGAGGTGATGAAAATATTGAGGACTAAGATGGCAGACATGGAAAGTTAATCTGATGGTGGTCCTCTGGAAGGAGATGAATTTTACCCAAATAACAATTGTATAAATTTCATGGCTTCATATAACTGAAAAAAGGCCAGTAATCTAGTTGTTTGGGTTTTTTTGGGTTTTTTACTAACAAGAAGTAATTAATGAGAGACCAATTTTAACCATTATATATCTACATAAGGCACTTTCTAGTTGATAACATAATGCCTAAGAGCAGAAATAAGTGCTCCATGTGGCATTCTTGTTCATTTATATTCCTTCCCGTAATGAAATAGAATCTGTTCCCTACGTCTATGTCATTAGAATTTTCATAGCACCTGTCACCTATCATCCTCCGTTTATATGGATTTCACGTTTTCCTGATGAACAAATGTAGGAGTGCAGGGTCCATATGGCCACATGTCTGGGCGGGGAGAATCCACGGGGTTTTTGGATTACCTGCCTGGAATCCTTTTCCCTTTTATTGTTTGGAGTTTGTCACCTCCTGTCAATCTCGTTACTTCTCTAAGAAGCCGCTGTTCTCAGCTCACTGCATGACAGTCGCTGCCTTGTGAAAACATCCCAGAAGCCTCTGCAGTCAATTGATCGACCCCAAAAGTGTCAGTCTCCCAGGGAAAGCTGACTTGGGTCGGCGAACAAGCTCACTCAGGATTTACGGAGTTCTCTGAGGAAAGATACATAACAAGAAAGCCAGTGGTTTCCACGGATCTCTTGGCTTCTTCTGACATAGAGAATAAATCTTTCTAAAACATAAGCAGCTGAGAGACACTTATGTAAATCCAAGACTTCTAGCCCCTGTAAAAGAATAATGATTTAAGTGCCTATATTACTTAACCAGTAACATTGTAAAAGATCAAAGAAGCTTTCAAAGGCCAGCAACAGAGATTTTGATTTTACTAGAAAAAGGACTGAAGGAATAATGCTGATTTACCCATTTAGTAATCCCTTTAGTTTATATTGACTGTTTATTGCTCTGATAAAGAGAGGCCGAGCTGAATCTAACAGTAACTTTTTGTCATTAAAAGGCTGTAGGTTTTTAATATCATAAGATAAGATGGCTCTTGTAGTTCCACATTCACACAATGGTATTCAAGTTTGTGCCATCACTTCCATGTTCAGAGCTTTAGAACTCCACCGTAATCGTTTGCTTTTGGCAGAAGTGTGTTCTACACGCTCCCAGCTGAGGATTATATTTCTGAACAAGTTTTTCAATGTTCTGGTGGTGTGATTATGCGAATTTGGAACTCAGTATTAATTTGCTTTTGGAGTTTGTGTTTGCATATCTCAAAATGCTCTTTTTAAAAATAACACAATTTAGCTTATAACAACTCTGTAATGTAAAGGGTAGAGATATTTCATTACTGAAGTACTGGGGATGCTCATTATAAGGAAATGTAGACAGATACAAGAATTACTTTGGATGAGAAAATGAGCCACTTCCCCCGCTTGTCCCATCATTACCTTTTTTTGTGGGACTTTGAACCACCTGATTTATTTGCCTAATAGTTTACATAATTCTTCAAGTTAGCTATTTATCAAATTGCTTTTTTTTTTTACTGGTAAACTGATGTGTTTTATTGACCCATAAGCATTCCCTCTCTGTCTAAACTTAGACATCTAAGAAGAATTAATATTTTTACCCTACTTCATACTTAAAATGTCTCCACAGCCTAATTTTTTTAATTTTCTACCTAATTTAATTTCAGCAGTCTACTGCTGTGCATACATATGAATGGGAGAGCCCTATTCTGCATCTGACACCTCACACGTGTAGGAAAGCTGGGGTAAGAGGCTTGGGCCATCATGCTTGGCCAGGCTGGGTTGAGACCTGGCATAAGGTTTCCCTAAAGTCCTGAGGGAAGCCTTGTGAGAGACAATGAGTTAATATTTGTGGAGATCTTTCAATAACATGTAATTGGTGCTTGAATTTTTATAAGCCAAACGTAGCATCTACCCCCAAAAGCTTCGTAAGAACATTTAGCACACATGTATGTGCCAGATGGATTGTAATGACAGTCGATAGGCCTCTGCTAACCCTAGCGTTCTGCTGTCAAAAATCCGTACATCAAAACGATAATTTTTATGATCAGATGTATTGGATAAAAGATTCAGATGCACATTGTGAAATCTACTGTCTGAATAAGACTTTAAATTAAAGGTTTCTAGATGAATATTCTAATTTACCTTATAAGAATATAGGTAAAGTTTGAAAAATAGCATTGATCTTACATATTTTCCTGTACAGAAGGGAATTTTTATGAGAAATATGTGGAGTATGACACAGAACCTTGGAAATTATTGTTAAAAGCTCAAGAATATCTAGAGATAAAAGCAGAAACACGGGATAATACAGCAAACAGTTATCTCTGAGAAAATGCTCTTGTGGTTGAAATAATAGTAGCTAAAGAGTTTAAAATGAAGATAATTAAGTTAGCTAAGAAAATTATTATTCTAATGTATTGTGAACTCTCTAGGAATACTTATTCTGGCTGAAAATGATGGTTCTAGATTCATGATAGGGGGACAGGTGGCCCCACCAATTATAAATTCCCCAAGACTGTAAATGTATATTTTATCATCATGTGTCAAAATATTCATTTTAATATTCAAACATTTTACCACATAATAAGCTGTAACCATATGTTTATTTGTTATATTATACTACTATAACATTAATAAATATTTACAGAGCCACAGTGTATCATAGATGTATTAGAAATGGTAGCTTTCTTAGTATGATTTTAAATGAAAATCTTCATTGCCTCAGAAACCAATTTTAAATAATGTCACATTTGTTACACATTGGTAAGAGCCAGGGAGTTTAAATTTTTGAGTCTCACACCCCCTTTAAAAGTCATGTTGTTTTATTTATTTCCCCCTATTGCATGAATTAAAGATGGAGTGTTATCTCAGTTTTGAATTCCTTAGCTTGATGTCGCAGTGTTTGCTTTATTTGTGTGTGAATTCTCTCTTTAATAAAGATGAGCGCTGCTGAACTTCCCATTACCGTGAGATGCTTAGGTACACAGCTCTTGTAACCATTTTGGCAGTACCAGGAAAATTCAGAAATGTTGCTTGTCTATTCATAACTAATGTGTCGAGCTGTGTGATTAATCAGAAATTTTATGATCTCTAAAAACATAGCATTGTCTCTGCACATCAAGAGAGGAGGGGAGGGGAGGGGAGAGGGGGAGGGGAGGAAAGGAGAGGGGGGACGGAAGGGAAGGGGAGGGAAGGGGGGAGGGGGGAGGGGAGGGAAGGGGGGGACGGGAGGGAAGGGAGAGGAGAGGAGAGGAGGGGGGAGAAGGGGAGGGGAAGGGAGGGAAAGAGAGGAAAGGAGAGAGGAGAGATCTGGGCTCCTATTCTCTGTTACAGTGTTCATTAGTATGTATCCTCTGTGACAGCTGAGACCAGCCCAGTCCTACATTCTGGAGGCAGGAGGACCAAGATAAGGCACTGACTGACTTGCCACTTTCATGTGTCAGGAGACAGGCCCTGAGCGACCAGACCCAGCTCTGGAGGAGCGTGTGCCAGTTTGGGGTTATTGGTTACCTATTTTCAGTGCTCCCGGGCTTCCTGACTCAGGTCCTGATAATGAAGCCCGAACCTCGGCTGTGTTAACGTTTTCCTTCAGCCTCTGTGTAGGCAGAAAACTTCTCAGTACTATCAGTTTCAATACAGATTTTCACAGCTATGGAACTCCAAGCAGACAGAACGGAGGTGATCCTCCTTCTGGTCACAGGGTCCGAACACCTTTAATGGGTGCTCCGTCAGACAGCCTGTTCTCGTCCTGCCTTCTGCTGCCAGGCGCACATCCGAAGGGGGGTGGGGGGCCGGAGACCGTGGGTGCCAACCGTCCCGTTACACTGAGGATCTGTTTCAAGCATTTCTGCTTTTGTCATGGTCGCAGATTCTGAAATCATTGTGTAATGTCCTGACTTCTAATTCTTCTGTGGGAAAATAGAGTGTTGTAATTTCCCACCTTCCTTGTACTCTTCTGTAATAGTCTCTCCCGGGATGTTTGGAGCATGTCTGAATTCTACATCACGAAGCTTCAGCCCCCATAACTGTCTCTGTCCTCTGACTGCACTGAGTTGCCAAAGGAATCTTTACCTTTTATTTTTTTCAACTAGTGATGAGTGTGTTATTGAAATGACTTTTCTCCGGTGCTTTCTTTACCCTCACGTCATACAGCGGAGGTGATAACAACCTGAGAATCTGGACAGCGCGAGCTTCTGTAACCGCCTAACTGTCTCTGACAGCCTTTGTCTAGGACTGAACTTTCCGCATTGTGTGTTTCAGACGTTGAGAAAGAAGGGCCTTAATGGCTGTGACAGCCCAGATCCCGATGCGGACGATTCCGTAGGTCACAGCCCTGAGTCTGAGGACAAGTACAGGAAAATTAACGAAGATATTGATCTAATGATCAGCAGACAAAGATTGTGTGTAAGTACTCCAGACGCCTTTCATTTTTTTTACTCTTGGTATTTCTCTGAACCTGGCAGGCCTTGAACAAGAAGGAAAACAAAGGCTGTGAAAGCCCCGATCCCGACTCCTCTTATGCACTCACCCCACGCACTGAAGAAAAATACAAAAAAATTAATGAAGAATTTGATAATATGATCAAGAGCCATAAAATTCCTGTAAGTACCCAAGGTAGATGGCTGGTCTGCTGATAACTGCTGCAGTAACTTACCTTAACCCTTTCAGTGATGGCTTTGTCTAAGACACATTGGAAAGTCAAGCCAATAAAATAGCCATCTCATCGCACGGCAGTTCGTATAGAAAGTAAACCCTAGCTAAACGGCTGCTTAAACTGTGCAATCTAAAAGCCTTGCCATCGAGTTCATTCAGAGATAGGAAATTCACAGGAGGAAGAGAAAGAAAGATCCATGCAACACACCCTGACTTTACACAATCTCTTAAACACACAGTGCACTCGGAAAACACCAGGACCTCCTTCTCAACACGTTTAATTCAAATACATATATACTTATGGCGATCATCACCCAAATAAAAGCTCGTTTCTGAATAAAGCTTCCGCCCCTCTCCCACACATGACACCCAGCAACAGCACTGAAGGGTTAAAGCTAATGCTCGCTGCAGGGAAACAGACTGCATGAAAACCTAATGGTAAGACTTCGACATGTGTGTGCGCTGGGGTGATGTTAAAGCTTCATCCAAATATCCGCTTTGCCGACCCCAACATTTCCCATGCTTTAACAATTGGCTAAGTTGTGTCTTAACCAAGTCAAAAATTTTCTAACAGTCCATCATGTGCCTTGCCAGATACTTGAGAGAAATAACTCTGCATGTATGATTTTGTTTGCCCACATAAAGAGGGGGAAGGTACGTACCTTTTATTATATTCTGTCATCAGCCAAGTGGTGTTAATGGTGTGACATAAAGTGATGCAACTCCGGGCTCACACACTTTCTGAAATAACCAGTGTTAGTGTCTGAACCCTCCTTGTATGCTCCTCAGTAGGTAATTAATTCCTTTCTTTAAAAAAAAAACACACAGTTTTGTAAGTTAGCCAAACATCCTCAGCCTGAGCGCTGAGGGAGACTGCAGTAAAAACATGCCTCTGTGACCACAAGTGCAGATATTTTGGGGATCAGAGCTCCGCCCCTGCACTCACCAGATGAGTTAATGCTTTACACATAGTAGGTGCACAGCTACCTTGTGTTGAATTAAATTAAACCCTTTAAAACTTATTTTAAAAATGTATGCACCTTAAGCTTTCCCTGCCTTCATTTTGCTTCTTTTGTTAAGTGAAATAATGTCAGCAGTGGAGCTTTTGTTGAATTGCAATTATTAATACACTGTGCTAGGAAGGAAAGCTAAGTGCTGTAAATTCTTAAAGGTTTCATAAACCGAGCACTACATACCGAACATCCACTGTGGGCACTTTATCAAATGAAATAGTTCCTATCAGAATGCTGCAATGCCTACTTGGTATGCCCAGAATTCTTACATGATAAAGTATCCATTGGGGTTTTTGTCTTGCCCAGAAGCAAGAAAGAAACAGCTCCTTTGGGCCAGCTTTTTTATTTATTTATTTATTTATTTATTTTAATTTCTTGTGGCCTGGTTTTCTCCGGCTCTACAACTGCTAGGCACAAAGGTTTCGAATGTAAGATTTTATAAGGTGAGGCATGTCAGGTGTCTCAGATAGAAGGAACCCCTTGCCCAGCTGTAAGACCACTGATCACTCTCCAGGGTGATGATCTGTAGCTTTAACCCCAAGACTCCTGGGAGCATGCCCATATTGGCACATTGGCACATCACTTTTCCCCATGCTTGAGAGGGAAAGAGGTGTGACACATACCTAGGTTCCCTCTCCATATTTTATCCTGCCGTGTGAAGAGTTCAAAATCAGGATACATGATTTCTTAAGAGGGGCAGCGGAGTGTGGCGGGGGAGGAAAAGCCACATTAGAGTGTCAGGGCAGGGCTGGGAGAGGGAGCCACACAGCTCCGCCTGGCCTCCAAGTCTCCCCTTTCTTCAGTAAGTGCTTCAGGCTCCGGGATGAAAAGCCCAGTTTTCGCACATCGCTTTCAGTTGCTGGAAGTAAATTTTGTTGAAAGTTTCCACAGCTGCTAAAACATTTACAGCAGGGCAAGGACACTCTGCCCTTTGTGCGGAGAGACTGTCTCCACCTCTTTAAAAACATTACAAGACTGTTTTTCTGTTTCAAAGACCCGGCTCGAAGAGTTTCCCTTGTAAAACAGAAAAATTTAATATTGCAATCACCTGTGGGCTCGATGTAATTTATGCCCATATTCCTCAACGACGTGCAATAATTCACGGAGGACTGGGAATCTTGTTGAGCAGCATTTCCTCCTGCAGGGTTTGCCCTGGTTCACGCCTGCCTCCGGGGCAAGAAAAAAAGAAGCTACGTTTGAGGAACCAGGAATTGGGAAATGGGCTGAAGGAAGGAGGGGCAGGTGCCAGATGGGTTGAGAGTGAACAGGAAGGAAGTGGGAATAGAGAGTTTCTATTTTCTTCAAATAAGGGACAGTGAAGAGAGAGAAATGGCACTGCCACTAGGTCAAAGAAGGGGTTAAAAGGCAAAGCACTTGCAATTATTTACATGCAGAGGAGGGATACCCGAAGGAAGGGAAAGGTTGAACATACAGGTACAATGGCAGTAAAATGGCAAAGCTCCACGAAGGGAAGAAGGTAAGGAGGATGGAGTTGGAACAGGACAGAGCTGTGGGTGGACCCACGTGGAGTTAAGTTGGGAGGAGAGTAGAGGAAGTTGAGTGGCTGATCATCTCCTGACCTGTGTTTTGTACGTTGAGTGTAGCTTCTACAGATATTGGGGGTTGGGAGGAGAGCAGGTGCTTGAAAGAGGACTGAGAATGAAGGTGTAGGCACTGTGAGGAGTTGGGGACCCGGAGGAAATGAGTGAGTACGTGCTGGAGTTGTCAGGCAGCCTTGAGGAAATTTGGACACCGGCAATGGGTCGTCACTCGTCATCGAAGTTCTGTGCTTCTTTTTCTCTGCTAGTCTTCAGCAGACTAGTAATGGTTGATCCAAAGTTAAGGGTGTCATCGGCGGCCCTGAAAAAGGGTCACTCAGATTGAATAAAAGAGGGCTTATTAACTAAAAATATTTTATTACAAATATTTGATTTGACTTTTTACTGGGCTTTTCCTTGCGGTGAATTTGGGAAAACAGTGGCTTTTGGAGGAGAGTTCAGATACCTTTCTGACCACAATGACTCATGTCAGTGACCATGATCAATTTGTTCAGGGGTGAAAACTAAAAGCCTTTTAGCTGTCGCTGCTGTATCTCCTAATGCCAGGGCCAGCTTCATTGGCGTGTGACTGTGCAGTTACACAGGGCACTGCTCTGAGGGCTGCAGCTTGGTAAAAAACGCTGTGCCATCACCACCTTGAAATTCTTAATACATTTTAACAAGGGTCCCCACATTTTCGTTTGCCCTGGCCCTGCAAATTATATAGCCAGTCCTGCCTACCACCTTTTTTTTTAATCACTCCAAAGTCCCTCTTCCTTCCTGCATTGAATGTTCTAAAATTTGGAGACTGGCCTGAAATCTCTACAAATTTGGAGACTTTAACTACTTTTTCGCTTTCACTTTTTAAACAACTTTTTTTTTAATTTAGATGCTTTCAACTTCTCAAATTTAGAAAAGTCAAGAAGAAAAAGAATAGCAGCAAAATCTCATAAGCATGCATACCTTATTATATAGCCTTTGCTTTCCCTAAAATGTTTAGATCTGGTTGGTCGCTTGAGGGATGCAATCACTTCAGGCCCAGGGAGGCTAAAAGAGGCCTAGTTACATGTCTATTTATTGCACAACCTGGACTGCAACTGAGATTTCTGATTGAAAGCTGATGTTCTTTCTGATTCTCTGAGATATCTTCTCAGTGTGGTCATTTTTAAGCATATAATTTTATTTCAAAATTATTTAACCAGTTCCTGAAACAGATAAGAAAAATGCAAAGGCTGTTGGCATATTGTACAACTTTTGCTTTTTTTGAAGTATGCTCTTGGTATCAGAATTATACCTGACTGCTATTTCATCAGTCACAGGAGAGTTTTTATAATAATCAACATCAAATTGTTTATGGTCCAGAATGCTAGAAATTGAGTAATTCTTAAGCATGATGGTTGAGCAAGGGAGGAGTAGAGAGAGAGACATGTAACAAATTGTTTATTAGGGTGCTTCAGGATTTATTAAATAATCATTAATACTCCCCTTTATATCGGATATGCATATAATCACTGAAGGGGAAGAGAGAGAAATAAGCTTTGCTCTCTGCTGACATACAATCAACATTCTGTAAAATACTCAGGGGATAGCCGACCTTTAGGTAATTCAGTAATAAACACTGTAATTAGTAATAGTAAACATAAATTTAACATTTTGAACCCAAATGATAGCTTAAAAATATCATATTTGAGTACATATGGGCAAGGGGAGTCTTGAAGGTTTCTCGTTTCCTAAGACCTCGGTCACAGATGGGCAGTGAGTGAACACACACTGTGCTCCCACGTGGCACTCACCACAGCCCATAGCATCCATTTAGTTCATTATTTTTGTGGTTCCAAATAATAAGCTACTGGCATCCAGCTCTTACTTCACAGTATGATTTCTGATTGCAGCATTCTCTTTCTATAAAAAAAAAAATCACTTTTGTTGCACAATGATTTAGTAGCAAAAGCAACAGGCTCAGCCACTTACTAGCTTGATGACATCAAGCCACTTAAACATTACAGATCTTAAAAAGGGGGAATTCTAACGAATGTTGAAAGGGTTATATCGTATCCTGTCTGTGTATTATCCAGTACAGTGCCTGTTCAATAAGCAGCATACAATAAATGCTAAGCTTATTCTTTGTAGGAGTACAGTGTCTTCCTAAAAAAATCTCCTTGGAAGAGAAATATTCAATTCACATACTAAAAAGTAGACTGGGCTCTGCATTACTTAGAGTACAAGAGCTTTAACACCTTCATGAAATGAGACCTTCTTTAGCCAACATCAGCACTGATTTCATAAATAGAAGGGAAACACGAGCCAAGGAAAGTGATCAGGAGATGGCAACCTGTGGCGCCCTGGGGCCCAGCAAAGGGAAACACCCTGCCCTCCCCACTCGCACTCTGTGCTTCTTGCTGGTATCACCAGTGGCCTTGCAGAAGCCAGAGGCCAAGGTGAGCCTGGTGGACACAGTCCGGAGGGTCAGCATCTGGCCCAGAGCAGTGAAGAGGGTGGGCAGTGAACCTGGGGGGGTGGGGGCAATGGAGAAGCCGTTGCACAGTTACTTGCCTCTGCTTTCTCAGCCATACTAGAGTAATTCCTATTTGGCCTTTTAATACAGGGAGACAACATTTCACTTACTCTACAGATATTTGTTTTACAGCGTTGTCTGTTTAAAAAGTCTCTGGAAATTTGGGGATATACTCCCTCTTGGGTATCTTATCAAACGTTTATATTCCATTCTATCCTGGCGTCCATCTAAAATTATGTTTTGTACCTTGTTTACAACAGTTAACACCTAATAAAGAATGACTGTGTTAATATAGCACTTGGACATTTTTATTTCCCTCTAAAACGATGAAGAAACAAAGACATGTGAAAGAAAAGAGTTGCATAACATTTACTCTGGTCAGTATCAGCATGTCCAGGTCATGGAGGAGAGAGACACAGGAAAAACAAAGAGTAAGAAATAAAAGGAGGACGAGCATAAATAGAGACCAGTGTTGCAGTCACCACCAGGGTAAACATAAAACTACTGCCGCGTGAGGCATGTGCGACAGGCCAGCCAGTCAGCCAGCAAAAGAAAACTGATGTTAGAACTACAGAGAGAAAAAATGCTTTAAAAAAAAAAAAAAAAAGAGGAAGAAGAAGAACAAAAAACTTTGAACTGCATGCGTATATGCATTTCAAGTTGCCCTACCTTATTTGAAAACACCTGAGGGAAATGTTCTATTTAAACTCCGTCTCCAATATACATATTAGATACAAACACACACATCCATTTTATGTTAAGAATGCCGTGTGCTCTGACACCACGAGCCCTCTGGCAATATATTCAAACAGTATTTTCATTCGTAATGTTAAAAATGGGGAAGGGAGGAGGGGAAGTCCCAACTATGATTATCCAGTTAGGGCAAGCAGAAAAATAAGCATGGCTTTGCTTAAATTGACAAAATAATATCAGAAGAATAAATAATTGGGACCTGATTACTCTAATTAAATAGCCACACAGCTTCAGTTCTCTAAATATTTGCCAACTATCTCATTTGAGATGCAGGCCTTGCCAGTTTTTAGTGTTAGTATATATCAGTGCAACATATACTCTGAAGTACCGTTTTAAAATATGGTTTATTAAATGATATATGCTCTGTTGAATCTAGTATCTTAAAATGTCTATTATCTTCACAGTTACTTTCAAAAGACAGACTTTTTAAAATAATAATTAAAGTCTATGTGCTGTTCACAAGCCGGGAGATGATTTTATATCATTAAGCTTTTGCATAAATATGCTTCAATAAGCAATTAAGCCGGAGGCTCTGGCTTGCATTTCAATCCTCCTTTTTCTCTGTGAAGTCATCACAATCATGTACCTTTGATTTTGCAGTCATTTCTGCCACCAGATTCAGATATCACAAATGAACACTTATTACCTAATAGAATGGAATTCAAAGACAATGGAATCTAATGAAACGGGGCTTTGTTTTAAACAAAAGTGAAATGCTTTCTAATAGTTGCATAGAAGGAGTCCTAAGCACATTAAAGAAATCAATTTATGATGTGAACATCTTGAGAGCTCTTCTTGATGGTCTTCTAGACACCACGCAGTCTGGGATTCGAAATTTGCCTTGGAAAGTAAAGGCTGTCTGAATATGAGAGTTTCTGTTTCTATTCTTTCCTTTTTTTTCTTTTTTTTAACCCTTTTATTTTCTGCTCTTCTAGGCTGTTCCACCTCCCAACTTTGAGATGCCAGTCTCCATCCCGGTGTCCAGCCACAATAGTTTGGTGTACAGCAACCCTGTCAGCTCACTGGGAAACCCCAACCTTTTGCCACTGGCCCACCCTTCTCTGCAGAGGAATAGTATGTCTCCTGGCGTAACACATCGACCTCCGAGTGCAGGTAACGCAGGTATGTCCTCATAAGAACACAATGTGGACAAGTCGTTGGAAGGAGCCACTCTGGGCAAAAAGGCCATTTTATTTACAAGTTTTCCATGTGTTGTATCCCTTCACTGCTAGGTCTTCAGCATGATAAAGCCTAACCCCACGAGCACATCTTTTGAAACCTTTTATAACCTGCACTTTAGCTATTCTGCCTCTCTACCAGCGATCTCCTTAGGTGGCTGTATTTTGGCCACATGTTTTTCTCACACAGAAGGTGCTCTTCTCATCTAAAATGCCATTTTCTCTCCTCACTAGGTAGCACTTTTTTTTTTAAATATATTTTATTGATTATATACAGAGAGGAAGGGAGAGAGATAGAGTTAGAAACATTGATGAGAGAGAGTCATCAATCAGCTGCCTCTTGCATACCCCCTAATGGGGATATGCCCGCAACCAAGGTACATGCCCTTGACCGGAATCAAACCCGGGACCCTTCAGTCCCCAAGCTGACACTCTATCCATTGAGCCAAACCGGTCTCGGCCTAGATAGCACTTCTTCTGAGAAACCTTCCCCTGTGTTCTCTTATGGCATATCCCATGGCCAATTTTTATTTATTTATATAGTAATTTACTTATAGCATAGCATATTTATGGCAAAAAGGAAATGTGGTAGGATAGCATAATTTATAAGAAATTTGAAATAAAAACAAAGCTAGTCAGAAATGAAGTTAAGAGCACGTCATAAGGACATTGCACCTGCCTGCACTTCCAGGAGATCCTTACTGTTGTACAATTCACAGTGTCCCATAGACAAGAACTTATTGCTCAGGAAAACTTCAGCTACTTTTATACTCGGACCATGCAGAACACATTATGTACTATAATGAGTATGCATCTATTATCCTGCTGGATTTAAAGAGTTTTGAAGGGAAGAATGTCCTCTTGATTTGCTAGACTCACAGTAGAAATTAAGTTAAATATGTATTGAATATAATTTAACAATTCCTTTATATTTTCAAAAGAAGCACCACATAAATAATTATATTTATAACCCATATGAAGCAACCATTATATATTTATATTTTGAGGTTTTTAAAAAGCACTCTTTAGGGAAATATTAATACCTTAGGCACAGATAACTGTATTAAAAGCAATTTATTCACAAAAGAATACTTAAATATCTCTCATAATTAAAATTAAGGGTATATTTAGTAAGTTTAGTACAGAAACTTTATATAGAAAATAAAATCAAAATCAGTCCTATAAAAAAAAAACCTTGATCTGAAAGATGTGGATAAAGGACTTTATTATACCATTCTCTCTGCTTAGAAAAATGATTGAAATTTTTTGTGAGCATTTTCAATAATCGATACTTTTTTTCAGATATACTCAAATTCAGTTGAATTTCCTATTTGATGAACTAGTGCTCATTTATTTTTTTTAAATATCATACTTTATTTATAAAATATCATTCAATTAGAAATAATAAACATTTTCATAAAAGGTAACAAATGTTTTCTTCTAATTCCAAAACCAGAACTAACTAATAATTGTAGAATGTCACTTAGAAGCTATTACAAAATAATCAGCTGTTATTCTGTGTATGTTTATGTTTTCATTTTGGCTAAATCTTATTTCTTAAAAACTAACAGTAATTATTATATTTAATATCTTATTGAAACTCTCCAACTCTAATATAAACCTTGACAAATTTCTAATTACTTTCTTAAGTTAGCCATGAATAAGCCTAAGTTTCTAAATTTGTGGCCAGTGAAACCTATTTTACTGTGTCAATAAGTGAAATTCAGGTACTAAAACGGTCATTCACTGTAGGTAGATTCATGAAATGACCAAGATCCTGGACAATTAACACTATACAAAATTAATTTTATAAGATGCATTTTTAAATAATTTAGCATCAAGTATATGGTTATTTGAATATACAGTAAACTTTACTGTATTTTTTATCCTATATTCTCTACAAAACATCCTCAAGAAAAACTAGACTTGGAAATAATAAGAAATTCAGAGAATAATTAAAGACTGGATCTTTTACATGTAACTTTTAAATGTAGTTTTTCTTAGAAAAAAGATTTTGCAAAATGTCAGTGAGTGAATGTATTTTTGATGTTTGAGCACAGCATGTCGCAATAAAACAAATGTCAGCCATCTCACTTAGGTAACACTTTACAAATGCAGGACTTTTGAGAGAGGACAGAATACTGGGGCTCTGAGGGTAAAGTGTGCTGTTCTGCCGGCTCCTTTTGATCCCCGTCTGTCCTCCACAGGTGGTCTGATGGGTGGAGACCTCACCTCAGGTGCAGGCACCAGTGCAGGTGAGTGGAGACTTCCGTCCTGCTGTGTGTATCCTTGGTCAGGGTTCCTTTACTGGGAGATCTGCAGGAAGTAAATCTTGAACCAAGTAAAGTTGAGAGATCTGTGAGAGGCATGGAAATATGGCCCCAAGAATTTCTAATGCACTTTTCTGAGCAGGAGTGGCTGGATAGTCATTTAGAAGAAGAATGTTTATTAACTAGAACTGACCTTACTGAAACTTCAGCTAGTCAATGTAGAAAACTGAGGGCTCTGCTCAAATCAATTTCATTCTAAATACCCTGTCTAGACTTCAGTGCCTATACCCATCCTTGCCATTTGAGGTCTCGGTTAATCATTTCACGTTCAATGTGACTCACTTACTACCCAGAGAAGTACCAAACTCCTCTACATTTCTAAAAAAAGAATACAAAGAGAAAAGGAGGGGTGGGATTACAATCGTTTAATGGTAATTTCATAAACTAAAACCGTATTTGGTGTTAAAAAGAGGTCTTGAAGAATGTAAATATAGTGCAGACCCCCAAAAAGCACTTTAATACATTCAAGCTTAATAATACCATCTTTCAGCATGGCCTGTTGTATCATAGTGACATCTCTCCAGAGTTTCATGTTAATTCATATCACTGTGACTATTCAGATATTGATGGCATTATCAATTCAGAGGCAAAACAGCAAACAATATGTTTTAATGCTAACTGCAGCTTACTATTGGCATAACAAGTAACCAGGTTAATTCCTGCAAGCTGGAGCATGCTATACATTTAAAACAGGAGGCAGGTATGAATGACATCAGGTTATGTTTGAAATGTCAAAAAAATTCAAGTTTATTGGAATATCCATGGACAGCCTAATTAAAATATTTTGCCAGGGTCCAATATAATAGCCTGCTAATTATAAGAAAGAAGAAAAAGAAAATTGGCATATGAAAACATTTTTACAGATATGTCCATTAGGGGTAATGTGTCTCACTTCTAATGTTGGCTCTTCCCTAATTCACTGAGTAATGAAGAAAAGGTATTAGAAGTATACAATGAATTAATAAGCAGAGTTAATGACACTCCTTCCTATTTTATCTTTCTTTTAAAAATTAAAATCAAATTAATAAGTAGACTTCATGTACTATTTTGCTGGATATTGAAATATGTTCATTTTTCCCCTCAAAAATTATTTTTTTAATTTTATTTTTTTATTTCTTTATTGATTAAGGTATCACCTATTTGTCCTCATCCCCCCATTCTTGATGCCTCAACATTGCAGAACCAGATCCAAGCCAGACCAATGTCTCTTGGATTTAAGTCTCTGGCAATCACTAAGATTAGCAAGAATGGTGGGGACTAAGCATTGGGTTGTCACAAATACCAAGAAAAAATAATATCAGGAAAATGCTTTAGATGTTATGGCATTTTATCTGGTATCTTGCTGCATCCATTTGCTTGCTCTTATGGGAACAGGCAATAGTGGCAATGAAAGTTATTAGAAGTAATAAAAAAAAAAAACATGGAGTGGGGAGAATGAGTTACTCAGCTTTGATGGAAGTGGCCTCTTATTACTGCTTAACAGCTAGAATGCATTAGAATCCTATATTGAAGATGAGAAGTGCTTGGTTGTTCAATTATGCTGTCATTGTCAATTGCCTGACAGTCCGCTAAGTTTAATGGCACTCCAGGGACGGAGAAGGTACTCAATCTTGTAAGCATAAAAGTTAGCCACATAGAGGTTGTACGTCACCGAACTAAAAATGTCTCACAAGCTTAGCAAATTCATCCCTCCTATTTCAGGATGCCTCTCATAGGCATGAGAATCTTCAGTTTCAAAAATAGTCTAAGAAAACAGAAAGGAGAAGGCTCAGTGGCTTCACCCTTATGCTAATAAGTATTATATTTTGATGACCGTATCCTGTAGCCATGAGTATACAATTGTCACAGTTTCTCTGTAGTTGTGAAAGAATTGCCTCCCCGCTTTCTTAAAAATAGAGGGAGGAGTCCTTTCTAACGCCGGCTCCACGGAACACCTGTTGTAGATGCCAATTAGCCGTGAGCTTAGCTGTCATGTCCTGCTCACAGGCACAGCGGTCTTCCCTTCTTTCTCATGCTGGACAGTATCATATGTCAGAGCCGAATATATCTGTGCTGATGTCAGAGAATCACATAGCACTGGGGGAAACAAGGCCAGCCAGAATGTCTCTACATTTTCAGAAAAGAAAACTGAAACGGAATGGCCAAAAGATACCTTCCATGTGTGGAATACTGTCATTATTGAAATACAAGGCCTCCGATAAAGTGAGAGACTCTGAGGCCAAGTGGCAAGGCTGCAATTAAGTTCAATAATTTTCCATCGTTTTAGTATTTTTTTTTCAAAATCAAATCATCTGAACGTGTAAAAAGTCTTGAGAGGGAAAGAAGTAAATTCAACTGTGTGCCTCTGAATGCCAAAGGCCCAAGAGAGCGACGTTCTCTTGTTCAGCTCAGCTCAGTCAGAAAGTATAGCATCTTTCCCATCCAGTCCCTGCACCATCTCTCTTCCTCATGCCATCATCCAGCAAGGCACTCAGTCTTACAGCCTCTGCCACCAAGGCATTTCCTCCATCTGCACCTTTCACTTCATTGTTACCCCACTCCCCTGGATCAGGTTTATATCAACAACCAGGCCCCCTAATTCATCTCCCTGCTTTGCCTTGCATCCCACACAATTCTCATCATAACTGATTAGTCTTTTCTCGAAGCTTTAAACTAATTGTAGGTCATCATTCATAGGCCTAAGATCCGGCAATGGCTTCCCAGCTTTTTCAGAATTAACCAAGAACCTCTTATCTCTGGCCCAAGGTGCTTTCCAGTTTTACTCCTTCTTACCTTCTGCCATCAAGAACCCTGCATCGCAAGTGTATGATAGCAAACATTTAAATTGCTCTTCCTGGGAGCTTTACAAAAAGGAACTTATTTATTCTCATCACAGTCTTTTAAAATATCATAGATATTCTCATGATGCCCTTCTATAAGACAGTGGGGCTGAGGCACAGAGAGGTTAACTAATTGGCCAAGGTGGAACCCAGGCAGTCTGTCTTCAGAGTCCAGGCTCCTAGCCAGCTGCGTTGTTTCCACTTTCCAGATTGTGCTGAAGCTGCTTGCCTTCACGTATGCATTCCTAGCACTCCTGCTTCAGGCTCCTGAGCATTCCTCAGAATTCAGTTCACCATTTAGGAAGCCCTTTTCTGTCTCTCCCTGAAGGAATTATGCACCTCTCCTCTATTCTCCCGTGGCAGTCTGTACCTACACTCCTTATCTCATCGCATTGTAATTGCAGTCTGGGCATATTTCTCTCTCCTGGATACTCAACCCTCACGGCAAGTTGTCTCTTATTCAGTTTGTAATCCCAGCTTGAAGCATAAAAGATAGCACGTGGCAGATATTCAGTAAACGTTTGTTAGCTGAATAAAGGAAATTTTGATCTTATAGACATACATTTTTAATAGTGTTGCCATAAAAAACAAAAATAATATTTCAAAGACATTATGTAACTTTAAATAAAAAAGATATGCCCTCTATTTGTAATTCAATAAGTAATGTATTCTTCTGATACTGTATACACTGAATAATGAATTAATTGCTTGATTAAATGGCTGAGCACCATTGGCCAATAAAAATTTACTAACTTCTCTAACATACTTAATAGAAAACCCATAGAGCTAATATATAGCAGTAAATGAAATGTGAGTTGGTATCTCAAACCATCGTAAATCACCTCTTAAAATAATGAACCTCTTAAAAAAAAAAATAATGAACCTCTTATCACTTGAAGCAGTTTCAAAGATAAAGACAAGTGGAAATAAAGAAGGAACAGGATGGGGTTGTACTCTAGCTATAAGAGAAATATACAGCAAGTCATTATAATACATTAGTAATAGTGACATTTCTAGGTTTCAGTTGACAGTTATTCATCCACTACTTAATCCTTTTCTCTCAACAACCAAAATGAAAAGTCACTGCTTTTAAAATTACATTTTGTCATATCTCTGCACATTAAAGCTTTTAGCATGTTAATCTCAGTGGTTATTGATGATTGTAAGATCAAGCTCAGTTGAGTTTTTATCATCATTAGATTTAATACAAATAACTATTAGAACAGAAATGTCTTGTGTTGGATTATTCATTATCCTATTAATACCCTTTGTTTTGACTTTGAAAACATGGTTTCTTTTTATGAGTAGGAAGTACAAGTTTACTCAAGGATTTACTGATTGGTGATTGAGACTGGAGAGAGAGAAAACCTTTAGGAATTCCTGAAGTTTTAAGAGAATTTTACAATCTAAATAGCTGTTCGACAATAAAACAAAGGAGATTTATGTATATTGGTTAATAATTTTAATTGGCATTATTGTAAATTAGATATAATTTTATATAAAAAGAAACTAACAGCTGTTATTTTGATTGTCAATTGTTTACTATTTTATGCATTTGGTTGTCAAGCATTGTCACTTCCAGAATGCTTAATTTATATCACTGAATACATGGAGACTTGGTAGCAGTGAATAAGAAGACCTGGCTTCCAGACTCTGAAAACACTCTATCTAGTAAGACCTTAGATTTAGAACCTTTGCATTTAGTACTCACATTGGGAATAATACCCAAATATCTATAGTGTCCACTTATAAACAATGTGTTATGATCATATAATAAAAATTTAATTACATGACTTCTTTTGAAATTCATTTAGCATTGAAAAAGAAATGTTTATTGTGTTATAAAATGGAACTTAAGTGAGGAGGCAAAAAGGTCATACAATGTTTATTATTTTACCAGTACCATTGTTTTTCAAGTTTTTGTTTTTGAGAATACTTATCAAAAATTCCTCAGCTGGGGGGTAAAAAAAATCAATAAAATGTGTAAAAAAAAATCAATAAAATATGAAAAAAAAAAAAATTCCTCGGCTGACTCTCTTATTAGCCAAAGACTTCTCTGAAATTATATATATATATATATAATTGATTTTTCACAGAGAGGAAGGG